GTAAAAATGCGGCTTACAGGCTCATTTGGTTCATTTCATAGAAGGCATGGACAAGACAGAAGCAGCAGGAGCTCAGAATAAAATCGCAGTGGTGGGTGCTTCTATCGTTTTTCCGCATTTTCCGACTAAAAAAAGAGGAAGGAAACGATTCTGAGCAAAAGTGAATTACTCATCATTTTAGATTGGAGTTCTTCTGCAAGCATCGTCCAGTGGAGTGGCATTACAGAACCTCGAGAACACTTTCACTGAAATAAGGACTCCAGGTATAATAGTTTGTGGGTCTCTAGGTTGGAGCGGAACTGGGAGCCATGATGTACAGTTTTCTGGAAAAAGCTGTTGCTAAGTACGGGTTAGAGAAGCAACATTTAATAATCTCATAAAAAGTAGACACGTTCAGATGAGTGGCAGGAAGCAAAAGGGTATCATACTGTATACTATCAAAGGGTGTCATACTGTATACTATCACACTGCTTAGAAGCTAATACATTTAGCCAGCATTGCCACGGAAAGAGAACGTCGAGGAACTGAAAAAAGACTGGACGATCAAATCAACAGTCGATCAATTAGATGAAGAAAAAGACATAGGTGGAAACACTACTACAAAAAAGCATTGGTTCGCTTTGTCCTCTACCTCATACAAACCATTGATTCCACCAACCGCGGGACTCGTCAGAGAGATAGGGTGGACGAAATAAGAACAACAATTTGGAAGGAGCTGACAAAAGGTTATGAAAAATTGATGCGAGACGCTCATGCAAAAACACGCAATAGAATCAGATCAAACCAGGCGTCACTCAAGGAAGGGTGCACTGTACAAATTAATCGTGAGCTGGACCGATAGTTGCGTGGATTGGCGTTCTCGAAACGGAATGTGGAGGAATTCCTTCACAGTTCCGGCGAAGGAAGGCAGAAAAAAGCTCTGGCCGAGGAGGGTCCCAGAATGTTCGTCCTGCACGAGCAGAGGGGGCTTTTCCGATGTCGAGGCTGACATTCTGCTTCAACTGTTAAGGCGCCACGGCGAACTGGTTTGAGAATGTCCGCTTGGGTGCCTCACTTACTAGTAGACACACGAATGCAGAACCGATCTGATGCCTGCAGCAAGAATGTTTTCTGCATTGGCCCCATTTATGAACCGCTGCGAAAACGAAACTGACCATCCAGTTAGGCCCACGTCAATTCTCAGGGCATTTCAGGGGAATATGTAATTACAAGTGCTGGCCATGAATGGATACAATTTAGAGGACTCCCACACCCCCCCCCCTCCTCCCAATGAAATGCCCTGGGAATTGACGTAGGCCTAACTGGATGGTCATTTTGACAGTGGATTGACCCGTAGAGTTTGGGCGACTCCCGCCTACTAGAGATCTTGCCAGCAGTCCCTCAGGAGTTCAACAGTACCAGAAGACAGGCCTAGGCATGGTGGCGCTTGTAGCGCTCGTCGCAGGGATTCCCGCGCGCAATGAGTTTGATATTTGGGTTCAATGGACTGTCCGGTAGTCACGAGGGTCTGGGTGAATAGTGACCAGTATCATCGCAGTGCGAGGCGGAGGTGGTGTAGTGACAAGTGGCGCGCTTACCACTCGCGCGGTCCTGGGTTCGAATCCCAGGTCGACACCCGCCCAGGCCAACCAAGCCTTCTACCCTCCGGGGACGGTAAATTGGTACCAGATTCGTCTGGGAGGATAAAACACTGACTTGTACATCGGCTGGCCACCGCAAGTCATTGTATAGGCCACATCGCATTCAATAAGCCACTACGATTCTGAATGGAAGTAGAATGCGTGCCGCATCCCACAAAGGGATTGATCAACGGCGAAGACTTTATCCTTTATCCTTTTATCATCGCAGTCGGTAATCCGGACCAGACACCAAAGTTCAGTCTAAGGAATGACCTCGGTCTTCGACCAATGTTTCCAAAAAAAAACTTTGTCTGGCTCAAGTATTTATATCACAGTGCGCATTAGTTGCACCAGACGTTTCGTAAAGTTTTCCTCCTTGCCACTAAAATTTAAAGCCAACTACCGTGGAATCGCTTTTCGGCCTTGTAGATAGTGATAATACTTCACGTTTCATTTACAGGCTCCCAGTCTTCACCGCTGAATTACAGTCTTGAGTCACTTGTACCAAATGACACATCAGCATTCTTTCGATTCGATGGTAAGTTTCTCTGGAATCATCCATTAGTCGTCCGCTTGCAAAGGCCCATTGATGCCTGATTGCTCCAGATGCCGCTACTAAGGTCTAATTCAGCATATCATCGTTAGCGTTACCCACACGATGTTGCTCTCTTTAGAGAAGTATGATCCTTTCACAGCGTCCATGTACTGACCAGACAACTCGAGTAGCAGCTTGCTAGCGGAGATCAAAGGATTATCTAAACGCTTATCTTTGCCTTCCGGTAGCTCCGCAAATGATTATGAAGATCAAGCAAATCATCTCATTTCCCTTTTCGCTCGAAAAGGTCTTGAGTATGCCAGTTTCGTGGGAATATACTCTGAATCTGTGCCGCCTAATTTGATTCCTGTTTCGGATAACTTGATACTGGAGTTAGATTCTGCTAAATAATCAAGCAAAAGTTGAAGAGCTTTCATTTGAAGAGCTTTTATTTGAGTATCGCAAAATGTCTTTAATTTAGGCTCGTTGACCACACCCCCATGTTCAGAAGGCGTGATTTGGACAGTATTGAGGGAACCCTCACAGGTGTCATACAAGCAGGTAAGAAAAGTCTCGAACTCTTTTAATCTCTTGCTGCTCCTTTCATACCAAAAAGCTGGATAGCTTCTGTTCTCTTTTTACGTTTCCCTCTTTGTGACCTCTTGTCAACATAAACCCTTTTCCTTTCGAAAAAAATTGGAAAATTTATTATTGCACTAGGGGATAGTTTCTACTGGCTTTAGAAACTCGTCAAAAAAATTGAGCAATCTCCGCTACAAAATTCTTGGTCGTACCCTCATTCAAGGCAAGTTATTCAATCTTGCGAGACATCCACTTTTCATATATCCAAACCCACAAGCCGTTTTTTCAAGGAACTGTTCGAGGAGTTGAACGAGGACTCTTGAGTTTACCAATGCGCGAGCTTCAAACAGCAGCGTTAACGCTTTACTGCCCCAGTTCTCAAAACTCGCTCTAACCAGTTTCATCTCGCTTTCTCTTTGCTGCTCCTTTCATACAAAAGTGGAGTAGCTTCTCTTTTTTACGTTTTTCCTCTCTGTGACTCTGGTTCAACTATCCTTTTGGTTCAAAAAGTGTTGGAAATTTTTATTGCACTAGGGATGTTTCTTATGGCTTTAGAAATCTTCGTCAAAAAACTTGACAATTCCGCTACTAATTCTTGGTCGTACCCTCATTCAGCAAAGTTTTCATCTTGCGGACATCCACTTTTTCATGCATCCAACCACAAGCCATTTTCAGGAACTGTTCGAGGAGTTGAAAGGATTTGGTATTTACCATGCAGCTTCAAACGCAGCGTTACATTTACGTTTTATTGTCCCCATTCTAAACTCAGCTATTCGAGCAACTTTTTCAAGGGTAGAGGTGGCTAAAATTCACCTCGATTGGTATCGACACTACCGAATGTCACGTCGCTCATTGAAAATCTGGTGCTGTGCACAGGTGCTGGCGCTACAAAGCACGCATTGTGTATATTTGGGATGTAGTTCGTTAGCGCGATTTTTTGTTCGCCTGCCGTCAGAACAGCCAGGAACCGACTTTCGGTTGGAACAATCGTCGATTTCCGGACTAGCGTATTTCCCTCAGTGAACATAAGAAGTTTTGGGTCAGAATTGTGAGCCTCATCGCCAGCAGTCGCGACTTTTGGTAGGCTATACGGTAACTTTATAGTTCAGTGACTTGGTAGGTACGTACCGTTCGTTACCTGTTATGCAGTGCGATCGCGCCAAACGACGGTCTTCCGAGGTTTTCGCGAGGAGAAGGGCAAGAGAATGGTAATTTGTCGTTCCGTCGCGCGCGGCGCACCGTCTGGCGATGAGCGCGGGAAGTTCTCAATGTAGGCATTACGCGGCAATGTGTGCGCGGGATTCCAACCGTGCGTCATTTTCTCGATTGGAGCAGCGGAATTCGCGGGGATTCTTGCATAATTTTATTTTTTCCATATTTCGGTACGTACTGCACGTGTTTTTGGCCTGTTCCTACACCGTCTAATGCTGTCGTCGCTGCAGATGGGATCATCAGCACAATTGAACACCCTCAGTAGTGACACCATTCCCATCCCTTTAATATTCAAATTCGAATAGCAAGGCAGGAAAATCGAACTCGTCTCTCGCGACGCGGCGTCGTTCGCGCCGCGTCACGAGAGACGTGACAGTGCGCCAAATTACGATTCTCTTGTCATACACCTGTTCTTGCGATATGCGAATGCGACGACTTGGCTGCCCCATAACTGATGCCCCATAAATGACGACGTTTTTTCTTGCATAAAATATTGTTTTGGAAGTTGGAAGATCCCCAGTGTGTTCTACCTATACGACAGATAACTTTCTGTTCTATGAGATGGATTCAGTTTTCTATCCCTCTAGACCCGAGCCAATTTTTACTCCGTCATTCTGTGGAAAGCAGATGTCGGGTTGACACAGTGTAGTTTTTGACTCTACCTTTTTGCACTTGATCTAGGCTTTGAAACTGCAGAAGTAGCACAAGACATGATCGAAGAACGTTGCTATTCAGGACGTCCTAACGTTGGTTCGAGCGATTCAGAGATAAAATAAAAATCCAACCTCGTGGATCCGCATCACATCGAGCGCTCTTTAAAGAGGAGTCATCGGCAGGGCCCCATGCAACAGCTTCGTGAATCTTTCCCATCAACTTGAGGCAATGCTGAATGAAAATGTGGAAACACTGCACAAATTCTACCCGTTCCCCATCCTTTCCCATGGATATCCGTGGGTAAACTGATCCATTAAGTTCCCAAACGAGCTGTGTAGGGCATCAACCTATGCGATGCATACCTGTGAGGTCGACACTGAAATCTTCAAGTCGTTTGAAACCTTCCATGCTTTCGCAAGAAGCACAGCTTTACGACAGATACTCAAAAAGTTTCCTTCTGGGGTTCGACTTTTTTGTTACATGTTTAAAAGGGAGGGTGTTCAAAATACTGAATACTGTCTACCTTTCGTTTTGAGCACTTGGGAAACAGAATCTTCCAGAAGATCAGGCGAATACCTTAAAAAGTGAAAATCCCCCATCATACGTTTCAGGATCTAATGGTGAACATTTTGTTCCCTAACGCAAAATTTCAACTTAAAAAACGTCACTACTTGTGGGTCAACCCTACTCATTTTCAGGGAGTCACATTACAGTTGTGACAGGCTTTCATTATAATTGTTGGCTTGTTGTGTTTTGGTGCCGGCTTCATGTGACGCGAGTGACTTGTTCATGTGACTTTCCAAGTGAATGGAATGGGTATTTGTATTCATAAATACATATCCTCGTAAAAAGAAGGCTCTGTAAAGAAAGTGGACTAATATCTTACCTGAATTCAGAAGAAGCAGCAAAGAGTAGATGGTACCGATAAGAAACATTATTTATGGACTTCGAAAACTCGAAAACATGTTTGGTGTTAGCAGTAAATCATATATTTCCAGGGTTTCCCCTCATTAAATCCACTTCTTAGCAAAAGAATTTGAACTTAGACCGTTCAGACATCAACTGCAAGCCCTTCTGCCTAAATGTCACGCTCATTTGTTTGCATGTATAAAGAAAGATTCACGAAGTGCTCTTCGTGGAATCTCGGTCAAATGCTTGAATCTTTTTCAGTTACCCTGTTGCGAGGCAAAGCTGATCCGGGCTTTTTCAGCTATCAACGCTGCGGACACTTGTGGATCTTAGAAGAGCTTCACTGACCAGAAACTGGAG